ACTGAGTGACCGAGGGGGATCCAAGAGAGGCCTTCAAGTCTTTCTCTGGGCAGCCTGTTCAAGTGCACTCACACTTCACCCATTTATGTGAGAGGATGCTTTGGGGCCTTTTTGAACTCCATGGCAAATTACCCTGTTATCAAACACACAACAGAAGTCCTCCTTCATCACTAAAGAGCTTCCTACTGGAAGAGCATGCTTTATTGCAAAAGACAAGCAAGCCTTCATGTATGTGATATCCCTTCTAATTCACCAGACTAATTGAAGGGTTGCTTTTGCAAGTGAATTAGATCCTTTTTATTTGCACATAGGCATTTGTCAAATGGCAGAATTTATTCCAGCTTCTCACACTTTTTTGTGTGTTTACATTTCCATACAGATAATAAATTTGGATGGACTGATCAACTTCAGAAATTAATCTGAATTAATTTAACCATCAACATATCTTTGGAAAGAATCAGGAATTACATTGGTCCCTCACACAATGCACTGCCTGGGACAAAAAAGGTTTGCATAAATTTTGAGCAAAATTCTGTCTATCACAGCTGTACATCCTCATTTCCTCTCTTTAGCAGTCCTGCAGTTACACGCTTCATTATTTAAGAGCAGTTTGGAATGGGTTTTCATAATTACTGGTTACAGCTTCAAAAAGAAATCCACAGAGGTGGCCACATGGTGTCCATGGAGCAGCCCTTGATTACAGTTTCTGAGTGAGGGATTGCAGGACCCCAGCCTTGGGGTTTAAAGCCCAAGCCTTTGAAGAGTGAATTCAGGAGATGCATTGTGGTTAAAAGCATAGTTCACGACATGACTCAAAGAAACTGGATGAGAAATCAACAGGCAGAATTGGTACCTTCTTCCCCCTGGGAAATAATTCAGTCACACAGATTCATTTTGATTGGTGCAGAGGTCTTTAGTAAAAGTCTCTCCTGCTAGTGACTACTATACTATAAAATCGTTAACATTTACCTCAAAGGAAAGAAATGCAAAGGTTAATGATTTGATTCTCTGGGCTTGCTACCTCCATCTCACCCCACCACACCAGGAAGACGAGTATCCTTCACCAGCCTCTTAATTGGAGGAGGGAATTCCCCAGTGTACATCTGTTATGCACAGAGTCCTGTTCCCTGGCAATGTTTGCAGCAGGCATCAAACCAGGAGCACCTCGCTGGTATTTCCAGCTGTTGAGTTGGTCGTGACACAGCCAGTTTGGTGGGCCCTACATCAGTTTTAAAGCAAGCAGGTCACCCTTTGGCTTACAGAGCACCTACACTGAAACTATGCTAACTGTAAGCTAGTGATTTCATTTGGGTTTCCCAGAGATCCACATCTGCTTTTTAGAAGAATGACAATGCCAACTATGTTTTGTAGGTGGGTAGGACTGTAGTAACTGTGAAAGAACACAGTGGGTGTCATTTGATATTCAGACACCTCAAATAAAGAACTTTATCAGTGGGTTCTCCTTTTGACTTACCGTAAGAGGCATATCTGGAGTAATGAGAGATTGTAAGACATCTCAGTAGAGCTGCAAATAGCAACTCCAAGTCACAGACACACAGATCATATGTGTACAGTTAAATGTACTCCCTATTTTGGTATGGAAGCCAAACAGATACAGATGAGTGAAGTTAAACAAGAAACTACTCATTTGCTATGAAGTAAAAACAAAATCCAGAGCCCAAAAGACATTTTGGAGTAAGCGCAGGTTAATAAGAGGTTAAACAGAACCATTTCAGACAATTTAAATTGGGTCTCTAAAGCTAATGATTTATAATCAGTTACCAGCATGGAATGACAGTGTCCACCCCACAGTGCTGTTTTTAACACAAATCATGAAGAGGCATAAAAGCAACACTCTTCTAAGCCATATACGTTTTTATTCTCCACCCAGGCCAGCAAGGGTGGGAAAAGGAAATGCAATTAAAAATAACAATCAGCAAACACACACTATCTTTACTTAAAATTTCAGACTAGAGCAGCCAGAAACACACTCAACAATCAGAATCACTGGAATTCCCTGCAGTTTGGCAGTGGCACATAAGCAGAAATTATTTTTGAGTTTCTGAAAGCAAAGGTAGAACAAGACAAAAACTTGTGCTTTCTTCTATTACAGCAAGTGATTATGATTATATATTTTGCAGCAGGCAAACAGCTCTGGGGATAACAAGCAAGAGAAAAAGCTATCCAGAGTTGTTTTGAGAAAAGTTTGAATAGAACTTTCAAAAATAGCACCAGAACTAACCCCAAGCTTAAACTAGCTCCTATTATAATGAGTGGCAGAACACCCTGATTTTAATGGGAGCAGAATCAAGCTTGGTTAAATGTAATAAAGTAGAAAACACATGATTAAGTATTCAAGAATATCTTCAAAAAGATGGCCCCCAAATGATTTCTCTGAACCCAGAAGCACAGCTGCCATGGCAGAGGGAAGGCAATACAACTTCTCCGATGCTCCTTTGTGTTTACATAGCAGTAAGAGGCACAGATTTGGTTTTGTCTCCACTCTCACAGGCTGTTTGCAAGCCTGAAATCAAATCCTGCAGCTCAGCAGACATTGCACAGTTGTATTCTGTAACTAGCTAGTATTTATCATTCGAGCCCTCTGTAAGCTGAAGGCTCTTTGTGCTACTGACCCCAGCCTTTCGTCTAGCCTTGAACAGCTGCTGTTTGGCAGTGACAGCTGAATTGGGTTTCCTCCCTCCGCAGTAATGCATGCTTGCCAGGCATCCTTTCCCCACTTGTTTGCCACATGTTGGGGCCAACGAACACAATCCACTTCTTTCACACCAGCAGCGTCTCCCCAGTCAGAGAGTAGGAACACTTGCCAATGGGTCTTCCTCCCCATTAATGCTTGCTAAGCATCACTTCTTCCCGCTCACCAGCCACTATTGGAAGCCTGCTATTTCCAAGGGGAGGGGTATTAAGCAGAGTGGCTGTGCCGGGTCACTAGAGACTGCTGGTACTGGCACTGCAGCTTCTCTATAATTTCCAAGGCATATCAAGGCCGTTAACTGAAACTGCTTTGTGAAAGGTATTTCATTGCTTGAGACTCAACCAGTTAAAACCGAGAGTTGCGCGTGAGAAAGCAGCAAACAGCCTGGCTGTACTTCAGCACAGGAATACCTCTGCTTTGTCAGAAAAGCATAGGGCCAAGCCCACTCTTGATATATGACTTGTACACTGCTCACACTGGTAATTCTCAAACTATGGCTGAAGAGGTTGCTTTGGCAGGACCTCCCAGACCAAAGATGGAACAGCAACCTCACTTATTTCTTAGTATCAGGCCTGGAGCACCAGATGGACTTGTTTATCCATCGCATTCCCTGATGTCCTAGACAGGACAGCCAGTCAGTGCAGTTGTGGGACCACCCTCTGAGTGCAACACAAAGCATTAACTCTTGTGACATCCCATTTCTAAATGTTTCTCTTAGACACCTAACAACTACAAGCAGCTCCCCCTCTGGAAGAGAGACTGCGGTAGTGAAACTGATACAGACGTGAGTGACTGTGCAGTCTACGTGGACTGCACACTAATAAGTTACCTACCTATGCACATGCAAATTCTGAGCCCTTCTGGGCTGGGGTTGAGCCAGACTTTCTAGCAGCACCAGCTGAACTAGAGCACTCAGGAAGTTTGTCATGTCTCACATATGTAGCTCAAACCCCATTATAGTCCATCAATCCTCTCCTTCACTTTCCTACTGAACTCTTTAGGCCAAAACTTCAACAGACAACCGTAGTCTGAACAAAGAACTTTTTTAATTTTTCTTTTTTTTTTTTTTTTTTTACTTTTTTTCTTTTTTTTTTTTTTTTAAAAGAGACTATTAAAATTCCTCCAGCCTATGGTGACCATCTCAGCCTCACCTGAGAGCCCACTAAGATGCTAAACTAAGTCCCAAAAGCAGGGAAATCAATTATAAAAGTGAGACACAAGGGGAAGATGTACTATCTATTGCTCTTCCATGTAATTAACAAGGAACTGGGGTGTGGTGAGGCAGATTTCTGGAGCTGAGGCACTAATGCAATTTGCACTGGTACTAACAGGGAAATTCTGCATGTTCAGGGTTGTTCTCTTTCTGAATTGGATTGGTTCAGCATCTCCTCCATAAGGGCAACTTGAAAACAAGAATGACTTTTTCACTGAGATTTCCCCCATTTCAAGCAAATTTCAGCTTCACCTCCATAAAAAAAACAAACACAGGTGTCACCAATCAACACATACACTGCAGTGACATCCAAACCAATCACATTCCTCAGAGCAGCTTTTTTTTTCCCCGTTTTCACTGCATAACCAACTGTTCCCTTGCATAATATTCCTGTAGCCCATTCTCTTTTAGGAGGGCACCTAGCAAAGTCAGGTGTGTCTTAAGGACATATATATCTGTACCTACAGTCACCTGAGGGTGCTTGCTGATATGCCTGTCCATTCCCTACACAATGCATTATTGAGCAAGTACTCTACTGCACATGGTTGCAGGTCAGCACAGAACTCAATGTGCCTTCGTCAGAGATTGTGCTGTGCTCTCCCACTGAAAGATTGGGCACAACTGTTGTAGTGCTGTTTTTTCAAACTGATGCTGTCTCAGAAGTCAGCTTACCTGAGAAGTTTATTGTATTTTTCGGAAGGGCTGAAAAAGGCCCCTTTCTAGGAAAACTGCAGGAATATCACATATTTTGCAATTTAGCCTTCACTTAAGAATGAGTTCCTATCTCCTGAAGTTCATCCCCTGGGTAGAAACTTCATTGGGTCAGGAAATCCCTGCTATGTTGTTTTCCCTAAAAGAGATGTATAATTTTACTGAAGTGGACTTCTCAGCCCATATCTGCCACCCCAGAACAGCCCAAGTCCCACAGACCTGAATTTTCTCACTATTCCCCAGAGTTATTATTAGCTAAGATAGATGACAAATCACTGGAGAACCATGCATCTGCCCACCCAGACCACACAAAGCTAGCACACTTGCATTCTGTGACATTTAAAGAGCACTCCCAGCCCAGTATTTAAGTTTGTTTTTAAATATATATATATTTATAAAAATCAGTGTCATTTTCAAGATGAAAACCACTCGCATATGACAAAAATAGTCAACCAGAACGGAAGCTCAGACTGCTGAAGTATCAACCCCCTGTGCAGAGCTCTTGCCAGAGAGACTACCTGAGATATTGTCAGAATCTAGCAGCTCAACAATGCTGTATGGAGAGCAATCTTCCAAACCTAACTTGCTGCAGAGCCAGCCACAGAAGCCCTTCTCCATGTCCCTGACAGCATGCCACCAGTCCCCAAAGGACCATGATACCTGGGTCACAGCTGAGTACAGACCTAGGGAAAAAGACACAACCATGATTATAATTGGGTAGAAGATGATCAAAAAGGGGCAAAAGGTGATTTTGTGCCAGAAGGTCCTCTCTTCATTGTACACCAAGAAGACATTGTACCATGTAATGGTTCCATAGTAGAATGAAACCACAAAGGATACTACAAAAACGATGGGGAGGCAGATGATGGTCCAGAGGACAATGTGGGGTCCTCTGTCCAACCCAACATCACATTTTTTCTTCTCAGGTACATTTTCTTTAGGAGGTTCCTTTGACTTAGCCAGTTCCTGCAGCTCTTTGTCTGTTAGCGTGACATGGATGTCCACCATCTGGCCCTTCTTCTTTCCTCTGGTGATTGTTCCAGTCAAGGTGACGTATCGGCTGTCTGAAGGCATGTTCCAGACACCTGCAAACACAGATAAAGTCATCCACATTAGATTTCTTTTCTGCGTGGCTTATTTTGTGCAACTCCCCAAAGATCTTGAACACAATTAGACAGCACAGATGGAGTTATAGTTAAACAAAAAGATGGAACACAAGTAGCAATGCATTATAACAAAGATTATCACAGAAAAAGAATAGCCAGTAAGGAAAATGACAGGAATTCTAGATGACAGAAATCACAAGGGAGAAGACTCCAGCATATGCACGGGGGACAACACACGAAAGAGAAGTGCTGTGGGAGCATATGGGGAAGAGAAAAGACAGAGTAAATGAATAAAAAAGAGTAAGCCTATTTTCTCCGCTAGAGTCAGATTTATTCCTCAACAACATGGACATCTGAAGTGAGTTAGCTAAATATGAACAAGACCTGGGAATAAGTACATGCACGCATGGAGTTATACTTGAATAGCTATTATTCCATTTCTCATTTGCGCTATATCAATCTAAATTAATTTTCAAACTTCAGAAAATCATGAAGTCTCATATTCACAAAGTCTCATATAATTACATTTGCATTTTAAAGGATCAAGCAAGGCACCAAATAGGAAAGTGTTGGGATATGCGTTCCAGTAAGAAACACCTTAGTTTCCAAGTGTCATTGGTTTTGGACAGTCCCTGCAGTGGCTCTGGGCATAAACTCTTCTGTAGATCTAAAAATATGCTTCCTCCTGGACTTAATTCTGACTGGCTTGGAAGGAAGTAATCAGAGGTTCTTAAAGGGAAGCTGAGCAGTGACACACAAAAACAGAAAGACAGCAGAGAAGCATGAAGGTTGGGGTTAGGATCATGGGGAATCTGGTGTGGCTGAAGGGCCAGGAGGTTGCATCCACATTTAAACCCTTCTCAGTCCACAGTGCTGACTCACGAGAGGATTAGCTGTGGAACCTGCTGCCCACAATTCTTTCCCACAAGGGTAGCTGTGACAGGCATCAGAAGTGAAAGTGGCTGAAATATACTGTGATGACCTTGCAAATTAATCAGTCTTGTAAAGGAAGCTGAGACTACACAAACAGAAGGCAACAGCAAATCTGAGATAACGAATAAAACTTCTTATTGCAGGTGGAGCCACTAAATCTGTTTCCATCCTTTCAGTTAACAGGCAGTTGCTTTAGGCATGGAGGGGTATTTGACCACAGCATTATACATACAGAGTGTGCTCAGCACTTCTCTAGATCATCCCTAACTATTGCATACATTTAAATCCAAGAGCAAGACAACTAGCATCTGCAAAGAACTGCTGAATGTACCCCAAATCAGTCTGTAATGATTTTTGTTTCATAGCATTTTCATGGATGAACTCAAACTCCTGGCATCTTGGAGATGACTGTTCCCACAGTCACTTCCATACAAGCTCAGGAGGATCTTGAAAATTAGCTTATCTATCTAGTCTGCCAAAAGGGAGATCAGCCCCAGCATTAACTAGCATAAGCTGCAAATGAGAGAGGTGGGAAAGACACCTCAAGACCACTGCAGATGTCTCCCCAAGCGTGTAGGCACATTATACCCAAATGCAAATAAGGGATGTGCCTTCGTTATGTTGGGGTGCACTGTTAAGAGGAAAGATTCCCTGCCACATCTGTTACCATATTAAAGAATACCTGCTTCTTAGTACCACACTGGTCTTAAGGAGTTTTATTTGAGCCAGGATTTGTCTTGCAACACCTGGCCATACATTCCTGCCCAAGGTCTACACTGCAAGGCACCCAGAGACTAAGGAAGAGGACCCTGTTTCTGTCCCTGTGACTCCCACCATCAGCCTTTGTACCAACCCTGGTAAATCTTGTGAATCCAAGAAGAGGCTTATAAAGCATCAATTCCTCCAAATGCAAGTATTTCTAACCTTCATCCTTTCTGATCTTAAAACAGCAGCAAGAGCTCCAACCTTTTCTCGTAAACCCAACTGTCTTGGCTACCAGTGACACCATTATTTATGGACTGTGAACATTCCCAGGGATACGTACCATCAGTCACGGACTGACCCAGGAACTTGGAGCCTTCCTCAGAACTCCTTTCCCCTCCTTCTTCATCTGCTTGCTCCTCTTCCACTTTATTCTCATTCTCTGACCTATACACTATTACTGACTCAGGACGGGACTCTTTCTTCTTCTTTTTCCTCCGGTCCATAGTGGCTTCTCCATCAAAGGTGACCGTGGTTGTCACTGCCCTCCTCACAGATCCATGGCAAGGGCTGTGACTTCCAGATTTCCTCTCTTTTGGCACTGTGTCTTCCAGCCCACTACTGCTCTCAAGCACCTCACTTGGCATCTTGTAGCACTTGTTGCCAGCCTAGCAGTTCCTGCACTTAGAATTCATTCATTCAACTACAATCCTACAGATGCTTTGTTTTGATAAGATGTCCTACAGCTGATATCCAGTTTATGCACTCCATTCCCAGCCTAAAATGAGAGACAAGTCAGAAAAAGGGTCTATTTCACATCAAGCAGAAAAATTTGACAGAAGTTTTGTATAAAGGTTTACTTCCAACTGGTTTAAATATCACCTGCTGATCTGATCTTCATTACTGTCATGGATACATATTATATCACCTAACCTTGATTCTTAGATTCCATTTTAAATATTAGGAATAAAAAAAGGTACTGCAAGGGGAAAGAGTTTATAACATTTATAAGATTAAAAAAGCATAGCTTATTCTATTTTTTTAATATGTCTCTGCAATGCTGCAAGCAAACAGAAGACAAAGGTTTTGGCCCACATGCATGAGAATGAAATACTGAAGCCACAGACAAAAATCAAGTTGACTGATTTAAAGGAGTAGCCTAGCTTAGAAACAGCAGCAGACACATTCTACTTTGTGATAGTTGTATTGGTGCCAGCTTTTCTAATTTTACTTGTCTTTCAACTTAGTGCCCATTGTGAGGATATTACAAAAAGTAATCAAACGATGTCAAAATGAATTATATTTCAACGTTTATTAATTTAGTATCATGCAGTTCTGCCAGACCTTAAAATTTAGCATATATAGTAGATGTAAAGTAAATTACTACTCAGATGACTTCACTGAGGGGGATTCAGAATGACAGCAAAGTCTTCTGACTGTTCAGGGACAAAAAACAACGTTTCATAAATATTTATAACAATTATAAATTATTTCTCACTCAAGCAAAACTACCAGTAATACTAAGTGACATTTATCTACGGGAATGCCACGTAACTAGAACTCAGATGATTAAACATGCATCAAGACAGTCAAGTCCTGTTCCATGAACCTACCAGACACAGGATTAATACCTCTCAGAATTCTTAACATTTAGAAATACAGCTGTGCCAAATATTCATGAAGTATTTAGATACAAATCTGACTACAAGGAATAACATTTTAACAACTCTGAAGAACCATGCTGAACAATTACATATGTAAAAGAATGTGCTGTCCAAATGTTTCTCGAACTCCAGTGGCTTGGTTCTGTGGACACTGCCTTGGAGAACCTGTTCCGTGCCTGACCACCCTCTGCTGAAGACCCTATTTACGTCTTGCACACTCCCCACACACACACAGATGCACAAACTTTTAATTGTATCACGTTAACGCTAACGACCATGACCAATGAACACTGTATAGCCCTTCGTGGCTTTAGGAAACTCAACAAAAAACAATTCAGATTGTTTTTTGCATTGCAGGAAATAAATCTCCCACAGTGATCAGACAACATATAAAATGGAATCAAAAGTCATTCTGCATATCTTAGAAGTTAGACTGCTTCTGAATCACTGGGCACAGGAACATCTTGCACAGCTCTGTAACATTACTGGCAACAGTCTGTTTAGATTGCCATCTGAGATCATACATGCCATGCAAAAAGCATATGCCTGAATTTGCAGAAAACATCCCCATCTGCAACCCCAACAGAGAATGGAGCAAAACCTGTAAGGGAATTTTGCCCCTTCTGAATATCTGTAGAGAAATAATGCCTCACTAAAAGAAATAACCTGTCCCAAAGCCACAAAGAAACTATGAAGCAGCAGTTCCCCTCACTACAGTCCTACACCTCATCTGCCTGAGGAATGTGGTCTTTACATCTGTTTTCAGACAGCCAGTTTTTCACATACCACGATACAAAACAGCACACGCAAGAAACTTCACAGTAAAATTTAACACTTTGCTTCCAACTTCTCCCCTTTTATCTCCAAAGCAAACCAGCCATTGACTTCAAAGATAGCAAGCTCTGACTCTCAAATAACTAACATGAGCAGGACTCCACAATTTCCACACGTCCATGGGAATTAATGCAAGTTTTCATTTACTGTTTTTTAAAAATAACCTTTATGGGAGAAATTGAATCATTTTATTCTATGGAATAAATTAATTCTTTGTAGTAAAATTGTGCAAGAGGTACAAATAGGTTCTAACATTTTTCTCTGACAATCAGCAGTAACATGTTTTGTCTCTATGAAATCACAAAGTCACCTGATTGATCCGTATGAGTCTGAGACCACAGTGATATTCCCCTCCAGAAACTGGAAAAAGAAAGCAGGCCCAGAGTCACCATGAAACTGAAAGCATCACTACTTGAGTGACCTTCTAAAATCCTGAACACATGAATGTTAATTTGGGACTAGATCTCCAAATTTCCTGACTGTAGTTTCCATGCTCAGCTCCTACTACCTTGAATAAGGGACTACTTTCCAGTAAAATTTTAAGAAATCCAAAGCTAAAGGCAAAGATTCCTGGTTAGGCTTTTCAAAAAAAAAAAAAAAAAAAAAAAAAAAAAGTTTATCAAGCTGTGATCTTCATTAACTCACAGCAGACAGTAAGCTAACTTCAGTTCTCAGCATAATGCCAAAGCCTAAAAGACTATGTTAACTTCGACCATGCAAGGAGAAGAAATGTGATGTTACTTTTTGATTTGGCACAGATACAATTGCTTCTGGAAATCTGTGTCCAGTTCTAATCTTCATCAGTCAGACAGAATGCCAATTACTGAGCAGATGTGTATGTTCCCTACATCAGAAGAAGAACACACTGAAAAAGATCCCTCTAAACCAGCAAAGGAGGATGCAACAAGATAAAAAGCTGACAGAGAAATACAAAGCAGACATTAGGTAGGCGTTTTAACAAATACATCACTGAGGGCTCTGGAGAATTGAACCATCACTGCAAACTTCCAAATCTGGACTGGCTATCTTGGCAGCAGTTTGGTCCTGATACTCAACTAGAAGAGGTATTATTGTAGGGAAGCTCTGTGACTTGTATAAAGGGAATTATCAGATTAAAAGAACACAAAGATCCTTCCTGATCTTAAGCTTGTTTTCACAGTAGATGCATTTCTTTTCTCAGCTGTTTCTGACAACACAGCAGCAAGGATACCCTCTACTGCCCAATCCTGACCTCCCCAAGATAGCATCTCAAAGCACCACTACCAACCCCACATTTCTCAGAGCTGCTGCTAAATCAAACAATTTCACATTTGAGTCCCATGTTTGCTGGGAATATTTTCTCCACAGTTACGAACAAGAAATGGGCTCCTGTAGTGTATCACAATAGACATTAAATATAGTCTTTCACTGTTCTTTATGTCTCCTGAGAATGAGGCAAGCCCTCAGCACTACACAACCATCCATACCACCAACTCTTTCAGCCACGCACACTGAGATCTCCAGCCCTCAAAGCCTTGCTGTGGGGCTGAAGAACGACAACTGCTGTGCAGCTGATACAAGTGATGACATCTCTCATGTGGGAGCATAGAGGGAGACAGGAACCAAGAAACTGTGTGAGAGAAGGAAAAAAAAAAAATGGTGAAATTTTAGGGACGGTTTATTAGCCAAACAATTTGTTATTAATCTCTCTGTGAAAACAGATGGAAAACCCCGGGGAAGTGGCTCTGCAAAAACACTCTATAGAAGAATTTTTAGAAACACAGTCTTCTGTTACTATGCAGGAAATCTACTGCTGCATACAATTCCCGTGACAGTAGTAGTTTTTGACATACAAAACAGGAGCCTAAAAGCTTGGTCTTGCACCACTGAGGTCAAAAGAAGCTTTTCCAATGGCTTTCAGCTGCTACTAATAGAAGAGAAATTATCCGGTTTGAATGCAGACAGGAAGAAAGCATTATACCACAAAATCCTTGATTTTAAATCCTTGCCACTGCATGAGTGACCTTTTTGATTGCTCAGAGGAGACATAAGAGGAAAAAATAAAGAGTAATGAGGAACATTGATCTTTATTTTTATAATCACATAACACATGTAAGAACTGGCACCGTATCTTCATGCACATCCCATTGGAGTAATCTGCAAGAACAAAAAACAACCTGTGACTTAGCATTGATGGTTACCCAGAACAGAGAAGAGATCAAGGAAAGTTTACACCAAACATCTGTCTTGAGAGAGCTCTCCAACTGTAGGTTGCCCCCTTCATTCCATACCCTCCCCATCCCCAACACTGCTTCTGATTTTATGTGTGTTTCATAAGTGCGCATTAACCAAAAGGCTAGTTTCAATTCCTAATATTTTTAAAGTGTTTGCCTGCTGTCAGATCGTACACATGAAAAACAGATGGTATCTGTTTGGGGCAGATCTGTCATCAATCAATCCTGTTATGACAAAACGAAGTGTTCCAATGCAGGAAATACATACTCAAACCCTATAAAAAGCATGGTAAGACCTATATAAGAAAGCACATTTAATTCAGACGTTATGCTAGGAAAGAGCCAAACAATAGGGCTCACCTAAACGATTTGAAATGATCTTTCACATATACATCCTCACCATACCCTGCTGAAACTGAGGACAATGCTTATCTCTATTTCAAGGTGAAATGACACAAACTAGATCACAGTTACTTCAACCTAGCAAATAGCAAGGCAGTGATGAATGATCTGTGAGAAGGCAAGGTGAGAAGAGCTCCTTCCTACTAGTAGTTGCAGCTGTGCAGCTTGCAATGAACTCGTCAGGGTGATTTATCTTTCTGGTAACAAGCCTTTTGCATTTTAGAAGAAAGTAAAACATTATTTTCAACTAAACAAATCCTCTGATCACATTTGCCATGTGGCCACATCCAGAAGAAGGAAGTGGAGGAAAAAGACACCTTATAGCAGTGGCCCATCGTAACGCCACTTAAGTGATTGCATAGAATAGCAAGAGGCACAAAGAGAAATACCTGCTTACGGTCTCCCAGCAGGGTAGGAGAAAGCAAGCAGCAAAGCTCATAGATCACACCTCTCTTTACTTAATCCACAAGCTTCAAAGCATTTTTATTTCTTATGGAAAGAGAGACAGGAAATAAAAAAAGAAGACCATACCCCTGAGTACGCATCAAAGTTTCAAAGCTGGACTTTGAATCAAAGCTGCAAAATTCAAGCTGGACTGCCAAAACCACTAAGCGTAAGAGTAGACAGCATAACGCAGTTAGATGACCTCTACCAGAAAAACCTTTATGGGTATTTGCTAGTGGGGCTCCTTGCCAACCCTTCAGGATCTGGAAGTGCTAAAAGCTCAAGCTAAAAGCAAAAGGAGGCAAGTGACACAGTCCACACATGCAAGCATCCTGATTTATCACAGGCAAATGGCTGCCTGTCAACAGGCAGGATTTGCGCTAGTGCTGTCCCACACTAAGGCTGCTGAGCAGCTTCTGGACCACAGCACTTGGTAACAAGAACCTGCCCAACACAGATGCAACTATTCTGAAGCTGCAGTTCAGCAAGAATAGAGTCACTCGGATTTGAATGGATGGTTCACCAACTGTGCTGCCATGCTGCTTAGCTCAGGACCATCTCTCTCCCTGCCCTCCTCCGTCCTTAATGTGAAACACCCAAACAGTTACTGATGGCTTTCTACAGATACAGCCAAAATTGAAACAAAATTAGGGAAGAGGAGCTTTCCACTGAATTGCTTTAGGATGACATTTTCAAAGACTTTAAAAAAAAAAAAAAAAAAAAATCAAGATCCAATTCATAAAAGAGATTCTCTAAAATGCCCTTCCCCCCTCCACCCCCCATTGTTTCATAACTTTTCCAAATGTCAGGGAATAATAACTGCTGCGTAGATCAGCATTACTGAAGTCCAGGAAACAGGATACGAGCATAGCTATACATTTTTATATTTAAAAAATTACCTGATCATTTTTCTTGCATACTAACTGCAACACTATGGAAAGCACAAGAAAGCAAGCAGCAAAGACTCAGGCCACAGCAAATGATAAACTCAGATACAACTACGAGTGCAGAAATAAGAGAAAACACTGTTTACATTCAAAAGGCCTTAAGACCTCCAGATAGGCAGAGACCTCCAGCAAGATACTCTCACCTATGCTGCCAACCCTTAAATGAAGCCTGGGAAGGGATGGATCCTGACTCCACCCCTTTCAGTCACTCAATGCATTGCATGCACCTGAGTTGCCCCTGCCTTCCCACCAGGTGCCCATCACTGGTTCAAGCCGTAACTTAGTGTTTTCACTACACTTATTATAAATCCCCAAACTCTGCTGGTCTACCTTTATTAAGAGCAAACACCTCAAGTGCTGCATCTCCCTTGTCTCCTCATTCTTCGTCCAGATAGCTAGAAGAATGAGAAATGAAAACAAAGTACCCAAAGCTTCCCAGTACTTCCAGGGATGAGATCTGTTTCCTTACGTTAATTATACCTTGTGAAAAATTCAATGCATGGCACATGCATGAGAGCCTTTAAAGGGAACCAAGACTTTAAAAGGACCATGACTTGGAAATGGAGGATGGTCTGAAATCCTCAAAGCAATCCAATGGTTTAGATCTGTATCTTGAATAAATTTAAAAGATGTCCCAAAATCTCTAAATAAAAAAAATAATGTGCTCACTCTCTTCCCCTAAGCTACCCCTCACTTAAGCATTTGCCCAAAGTGGGTCATCCTGCACCTTGAAACAGCAGATGCCTGTTGTAATTCCTGTCTTATTTATCTGGACCTTGTTGGGCTATACGGTACCATAAGATGAGTAGAAACAACTCAGTTACACCCACATCCTACTTCCATAGCAATGCCCCAGGCTGAGATTGTCATAGCATCTGTTTTTGTGATACATCTTCAATTGGAAGGCTTTATATTAAGCAGGATTCGAAGATGCACCATGAGCTTCCTCCACACACCAAATTAGTGTTGTGCTTCCTCTGGGCATCTAAGCAGATGCCAAGAAAAAAGTAACAACAGAGCAAGGATTATCTGAAAAATACTTGCACAAAACTACATCTTTGAGTTCTTATTTGGTCAAGATATTTAGGGGCTTCAGATCAGAGTTTTATCTGAGCAACACCCAGCTGCATCCCAGGAGATGCTAAAGAGGCAGACAGAGAGAGAAAACTGGAAAGTCTCCTGGGGATGATTCAGGATTGCTTAATGCATTGCACAGTAAATATAATCTAAGATACTTAGACAGTATCTCCAGCAGCAGGAATTAGTTGGCTCAGGGGACTCTCAATTGGATACAAGTGCAGACACAGATCCATGATGCCAGCATATTAAAAATGCAGCACTTTCAATTGCAGACAAATGAATGCTACTATATCATATGGTGTCAGTGGGGTGTGTGTGATTATTTAGAACATGTAGCTACATACCAATTTCAAGCTATTTGATACTGGTACTCTACATCTTGTGTGATTACAAACTCTACTTTCAGTATGGTGTCTCCTCTTCTTTTTAATCAGTGAAGTGAAATTCCTAGGGATACTGAGGAAAGAGGATGTAATCTGAAAAATCCTGACTCTCTCCTAATTAGACTGCCACCCTCAAGATATCCTGGAGAGCAAGTCCCTTCCCAGTGGGGAAACTCATGAAAAGATGGATTGGCCAGAGAACCTGACCATCACATGGGACTGCCCAGGAAGCCAGAAGTCACGAAAGGCTCTTGTGTGCCAGCAGGAGATGATGAAAAGAAACAACCACCACAGCAGAGAATCCATAGAAAGGAGGTGAGAGCGGCAGGGACTTCTGAAGAGGCTCTTTGTGTGATTCCCATAGAAGAATCCACAGAGGTAAGGGAACAGAAACTCATACTATTTTTCATTCAGTTTGGGCTCAGTCCAGACATTTCTTGTAATAAGCATAGCAGGGTAGAAATGCTTGTTGTTATATTTCATGTAATTTGGTATCCCAAGAGACAAAAGACATAAACCAGGAGCATCCGTGGGAGTGGGGCCTGGAAAAGAAGCAGCAGCCAGAGCTGGAGCCTGGCATTTTTTCTGCAGGATAACTAACAGAAACTCTATGTCATAAACCACTTTTGAGTGTAAGGTTTTATTTCTAGCATTAGGATATTTTTCATTAAATCTCCTCTGCTTTTACCTCTCTGTGGTACTACTGGTCAGGATTTGGATCCTGCTGAGGTTTCTGTCCTGTCTGGAGCCTGCAATCAGATTGGTATCTAACGACTCTGAGACCTTCCCCCTTGCCAACATAGATTATGAGCTGTTGGAGGGCACAGAGTGACTGCACAAAACTGCGTGAAGGACTGCAGGCTATAAGGAATATTAAAGCAGAAAATGTTCTGCTGGGATTTTTAAAGCGTGGCAGAGTGCTGGACTGGCAGATGTCATCAGCTGAATAGCTGAGCCATAGGCTGGCAAAGCACAAAATCGGCTTTGGACAAAAGCAGCCCTTTCTAAAAATGCAGAGTTTCCTATTCATCTCAACAAATTGAACTAGTTCATTCAAAGCTGAGACAATATGGGTTTTGAAAAAATAGGAGAGCTAGTTTTTCCTGTCAATCCATAAATACAAGAGGAGATGCTAAAGAATGATGTGCTAATTGCACAACTCTGAAGAGCTGACAAGTGGAAAAAACAACTACTGATGAATTCTTTTTCCTAAGAATGTCATTTTAATTTCAAACAGTTAATGTTTAAGTGATAGATACATCAAGGAAAAAGAATAAGTAGGTTTTAGCATTAAAAAAAAAAATGCTTTGAGGTTTTACATGCAGATTTACTTTCTCTCAGATACAACCTGACATACTTAAGGTCAGAAAAAAAAAGAACAAACACCTGTCTAATCAGACACTATTTCCTAATACACAAAAATTAAGAATCCAAACACTAAATTTATAGAATAACATAGAGGAATAGCTTTCTGCTTACTGACTTTACTGCTATGGCTGCATAGCGACAAACCATAACACTTTAATGGAACCAGCAAAAGGAAATGAACATTCCTTTGTGAATAAGAAAGTACAAGTGTAAGAGAAGATTAAAATTGATTTCAGCTAATAAGATTTTCTTCTTTTCAGCTTAAATCGTTCTGAATTTAAAACACAGACATACAACCAACACACACAAAGATATCCTTGTTTTAAAGCCAACCCACACAACACTGTGAGAACCACTGACTTACAGAAAATATCTGTGAAAATTGGTTATCTCAGCTCAGCTGTTTGTGAATCGATCTTCTACCAGAAGGGGCTAAGTGCTGAGGAATGGCTGCCTCCTTTTCTTGCCCCTTTATTCCTTTCCCCTTTATCCTCCTGCCCATCACTCACGGAACCTTACGTAATGTGTTAAGCCTCTCCTTTATGGCATTTCCATGGCTATTGAGAAATTCCAGAACCTCATGGGAAACGAGTTACTTATCTCAATGTGGAAGAAAAACCCTCTGACTGGGCTCTCCAGGAAATCTAACAAGCAAATACTACAAACAGTACCCAGCCAGATTTTCCCTGCCAGCCCATGGCTGAAAGATCTAGTTCACTAGTACCAGTGAATGCTTCTCCCTGGGATTAATTAAAGATCTCTCTGCTACAGCCTGCTTTAAATATGTAGGGCATCCAGAAACAATTAATGGGGATTCTGTGGAACCTCCACACTGTGGAAGATGATTGAAAGAGGGGGGAAAAAATCCTGCAATGTCATCCACCATGCCTTGCCTCCAGTAAGTAACACGTTTAGAACATCAAAGTATTCTGCACATTTTAACCCATCCGGAAGGCAGCTTTGGTGCCTCACCAGGCTAAGTCACCATGCAGAGATCTGCTTCTGGCTTCTCATCCTTTGCTGGGTGAGCATGGACAGGCCGCAACTTCTTCATGCCTCTCTTTCTACACACTTAAAAGAAGGGAATTCACCTTCCTTTGAAACCAAACTACTGAATAAAGGCGTTATCTCACAATTTGCTTTGATTTAAAGTATGGCAAAAATAAATGAGACAGCTTAACAAATAAGAAAAACAGAAGAGATACAGCGGATCTCCCACTTCATCAGTGCATGCTTCTATTCTCTCTCTCCACCTCTCCTAAGGGAAAAGTGTCAGGATGCAACTGAAGGATACACTTTTAAATATCTATTGAAAAAGACAGAGGAGATGCATGGAAGGACACACATCACACACACACATCACTCACACACTCCTGGGCACATCAGCGTTAGTTAAAGTCACCTGCAAAGCACCAAGATGGTCTGCCACCTCATCGTGGGACAGATGCCGACTGCCCTCTGTGCCAGTTGAGCTCACTATGCATTTTTGAACAAGAAAACACCACAGCACAAAATGGCTATGTTGGGGATGCATGTATGTATGCTGCAGCTGAGCTCTCCTGCTCCAGGAGACCTGAGACAACATGGAAGAACACGCAGTGCTGGGGAAAGTACACTTTCTTTACAAATAAATAGAAATGAAGCACAGCGCGATAGACTACAACACAATAAAACGCTGGCTTTAAAGCTAGCGCGCTACGGACGGATGCAGGTGGAGGGCTTTGTTGCAGGGAGGCAGCAGGCACGGGCGACCACGAGTCACCGGGATGCTCCGCTCGGCTCGCCGACGCGCCAGCACCGCTTCCTCCCGCAGTCCTGCCGCCAGACATACCGGGGGCCACCCTGGGGACGAGGAGGTGCCGCGGCCCGCCCCGCGGATACCCGCAGCCGCTTACCTGCCCGCTCCGCCCGCGGGGCCCCGGAGCGGCACCGCCGCCGCCCGCTCCCTCCCGAGCCGCCGGGGCCCCGCACACCGCCGCTGTCCCTGGCGCTCAGCCCCGGTGCGGGCGGGGCGGCGCGTCACGTGTCGGGGCGGTGGCGGCCCGCTGCGCGCGAGGGGGGAAGATGGCGGCGCGGCGCGGGTTGCTGGCGGCCGGGCTGTTCAGCGGGCGGGTGGCCATCGTCACCGGCGGCGGCACCGGCATCGGCAAGGCCATCGCCGCCGACTTGCTGGCGTTAGGTGGGCGGGTGTGAAGCGAAGACGGGGGGGTGCAGGGGTGGGGGCCTTGAGGGCCGTGGGGGTCTCGGGTTAACGGGTGTTAGGGCGTCCGGCGGTCGTAGCGCTCGGTGAGCGGGTCTGTGGTGAGCTTACGGGGCGTAGGTCACTCCTGCTGGGAACCATTTCCACGTATGCCTTGCACTTCAGGCTATGCTGATTTATTTATTTATTTTTTTTTGGAAGAAGGGCTGGTTGGACAACAAATACCGATGAGCAGCGGCTGGTCACGATGCACGTTGTTTTTATAACCCATCTCCTTCAGAGCCTTTTGCAGAGATTTAAGCCCTTTGTCTGGAAGTGCATCTGTCCCTGCCCACCTTGGCAGTCACAGGAAATGGTCTGATCATTCTTTGTTAAATACAGACTTCACTGAAGTTTGTGCAGTAGATGCAGTCATCCTTATGAGTCACAACCTGCCCTCATCCTACATCAGCACATCAAGCAAAAATACTCTTCTGCTGGGCATGATTCTGTAGTGTGTTTATAAATAAACACTGAAGTGCTATAATAAGTTAGTGCTTAGTGTTAATTGCTGATGACGATGACATGTGCCTCTCCATGAACTCAGTTTGTTGTGCAGGTGACCAAGACCCTCACCTAAAAAAAAAAACAAACAGGAGACCTCAGTCTAACGCTTTCACATGTGCTATTTCAAGATGGCTGGTGATCAAAGGTGAAGGCCCTTTTCTTGGAGATGCATAGTTGAGCACATCCTTCTGGAAAGAACTTTTGCTTTTTTTTTTTTTTTTTTTAACATAAATTTCATGTATAATTTCAGGAGAGAGCCTGAGCCAAATGAACAGCTTGCTGCTCTTTACTCCCACAAGATATTTCGAGTTGTTTCTGGTGTTTGTTTAATCACATGAGAGGCCAAATTCCACTGCAAAATAGCAACAAAAGGAAAGAAAAAAAAAACACCTGGCAAAATGTTAACTTCATTTTTGGCTGGTTTAGTGCTTTGAATTCATTTATGTTTAAGCAGAGGAGCACCAGAGCTAGTGTGAGGAATGGATGGCTTCTGTTGGGATACAAAGACTATATCAGGAGGAAGGTGGGAATAAGGCCTTCCACCTTGCCAAATGGATTTGTACTAGGGATTAACATGGTGGGATCTGTTTCAGTCTGTAGTGACAATCACCAAACTTCAGTGTATCCTTAGTCCTCTGATGACAATAAACTAGTCCATTTGTTATGTGAATGCTGACTGGTAATTTTGTACTTAAGTTACATGCATGCAAAGCAGAAGGTCTGAGCACCTAAGCATTTTTTTTCTCTCCTGCCTGATCTGGGATTACACAGCAAGTAGAAGTGCCCTGGGGAAGGCTCTGTTCCTGCTGTCTGTAGTCTGCAGATAAAAATTAATCTCACAACTATATCATGCTTAGACTCTGTAGGTTATAAGCAGAGCATTACATTTACTCACTCCTGGTCAAAATTATGGATAGAGTCACAGTAAGATTTTTGAGGTTTCAGAAGCAAGTTTTTGTAATCAAGACCAGCTGAAACATCTTTAAATCTCATAATTTGAAATGAGACAGGCTTGAAAAATAGCTGCAAAGTCATGTCTGAAAGCTACTCTGACTGCAACTCACAGGCTATCTCCCCTTCTGCAGGAAGGAGAGTGAATATAGCCATTTTTATTTTGGTTCCTTGCATGGCACACTGGGATCTTGTTGCTAAGAAGCATCTCACATCAGTCATTCATTCTTCTCTCACAAGAATTTCTTCATTGTGTCTTCCAGTCAGTAGCTAATGAATGCATATCCTACAGCATATCTCCTCATGCTATTAGCCTGGGGTAACTGCAGTTTTGACTGTAAACTAAAAGATTTTTCATTCTCTCTCTCCACAGGTTGCAGTGTTGTTATTGCTGCTCGTAAATTTGACCGATTAAAAGCCACTGCAGAAGAACTGAATAATACATTTTCTTCAATGAGTCCTGCCAAAGTGACTCCTATACAGTGCAATATCCGTAAAGAAGAGGAGGTAACAACTAATAATCTTCTTCTGGGGCTTAACACATCAGGAGTATATTGTGTCTATAAATCCTCAGACCCCCGAAGTTACTTGCTGAGCCTCAGAAGTACCTTAGATCAGGAGACAGTTGCAGTAAAACACTTGATATGACCTAAATAAAACTGTGCATTCTAAGAGAAGGTAATTTAGCAACTACAAAGGAAAGCATTTTTACTCTTAGATTTTTTCTGACTACACACATTTCTACTATTTTTTTTTAATGAGAAGCACACTTTGGAACTGTTATGTTCTTAGAGCTGACCCAGAGCCTACTTCATGGGGTTCTGTGTCATTTCTTGAGGGGGCAGTTACTTGTGAAGATGGAGTCATTCAGAGTCATTCCTTCAAACAGAAGTTAGAGCATAGGATCTCAATTCTTGTGTCTTGACACAAGTAAACCTGAGATGTATCCTGTGTTTTCAGTTTTGCCCATATTGAAGGGAAAAAATACCACTTTCCTATCCATGTTTCACATTCTGGTTGCAACTTGAGGTGTGCAGAACTTTTGCTCTCAGTCCTTAGTAAGTGCTCTCCTATTGTCATACCAGATTTTTATTTTCCTTTCTTATATTACAAAAACTGGGAGATCAAGAGCAGAAGTACTTCATCCAGGTTCTTCAGAAGTCTGCATTCATCTTTCAATTTTTATCTCTGTAATTAAACATTAAGGAATCCAACATCATGCCAGGCTTAACTTAAAACTGCTGTAAAACATTCCACTGATCAATTGCTACTAGGTTCTTAACCTTTTAAAGCCTCTGATAAAATCTACCAGAACTTAAAGACATATTAATAACCTTTAGAAGCTACATGGATTCTGAAAGTATCCCACCATACAACGATAAAGCAAATAAAAACTCCTCCCTCATGGAACAGCTCAAGCCATAAAATATTCACAATGATATTCTTAGACTTTTTTCCTGAGGGAGGAGAACCCTCAGGCTGTGCAGTATGTCACTTCACCTACGAGTGAATTTTAAGTTAGTATTTACCAGCATCAGCAGTGTGATACAATAGATTGTGACAGGTGTCAGAGGGTAACTTGCATGATTAAAGCAACAGGAAAGAGAAGAGGTTCTTTCCTCAAAGTCTTCTTGCAGAGAATAGTCTGGCATGCTTAACAGCCTTCTTATGAATCTTATTTTTGCACTAACTTGAAAATAAGTTAACAGTAGTGTTACATAAAATAGAAGAGGGCTTGGATGGTAAAGGAAGATATCTGTACCAAACAAATAGTGTTCCTTGTTTAAAAACAAGGAATTGTCAGAGCAACTGTGGTAGCGTTAAAAGACTTCAAAGCCATTTTTTAATGTACTCAAAGCCATTTCTTATACACTGCTTTGTGAAGTGTTCAGGCATTATCTGTGCTACAGGTAGCTATGCTTTATATATTTAGAGAAACTTGTTTTCTGTCCTGTTACCCTACAGTTTCAACACAGAACTGTTGTCTTCCATTTATATTTAAGTTCTAATCATTTGTGTTTACACCAGAACTCTCCTAGAGCTTTTCCATGCTATATTGGGGAACCTTTTATTGGTTATCTTTTGCTAAAAGAAATTCTTCTAAATCACTGTTACATCGTATGCCTCATAGAGAGGATTCAGATGGATAAGGTAGAGATCAGTCTTGAGTTTTTCATTTGAGTCAATCTCATAACATGACTCACTGCAGTTCTTCTCCATCAGCTCTTACTTCTTTCTTTTGAAGTCTTTCTTAACTAAAAAAATTGCTATGAAAATTCAGGAAGCTTTTTATGGAAGTTTTATAAGGAATGCAGTTTCTGTTCTGTTACATTCTAACATAAGAATGCAAGTATTTAGCCATTTAACATACTTAGCCATTCCAGATGCTCTTATGCAAGGGCAGGTGTTACTGATTCGAGAACATGAAGCAATGAAAAGCAACAACGCCTTCTACTAGAATAGGAACATGCTTATAAAGATATTTGTTCAAATTTAGTTTGAAAAGCTAAGTAGAAGAAGGTGATTTACCCTTTCCAAGGACCAGCAGCATCTCAAAGAAGAACACAGTGTCTGAATTGAGATGTTGCTTCCTTGGCTGCTAACCCTTAAATGATGGTGAGAAGGGGGTGGACCCTGAGTCCATCCCTTCTGGCTGCTCAAGTGTATTCCTTGCACCTGAATGCCTTAAGTTAGATGCACCTTCTCACCTGGTGCTCAATCATTGGCTTAGATCACAATCAGGCAATACCCATAAAATGACATTTTATGTTTTTTTTTTTGTTTATCTCTTACTATTCTGGCTTCATCCTTGTCTGTTAGCTTTGTAATACTAAGACTATCAAAATGGCAGAATTCTGGCCACTGGTACATAGTTTCTAAAATTGCTATTCAGTTAGAAGAAACACGTAACACATTTTCAGCTTTTAAATTTACAGACAGAATAGTACTTTACACTTTACTTAGTATTTGTAACTGAGATAATCTTAAATTAACAGTTGGTAACTGTACAATCTGTAGATATATGGAAGTTAGGCTTAATAAGATTACCACAGTAAAAAAATAATTGAAAATCCTCACCAGTGTTATAGGCTCACAGAAAACTCCACAAGGAGCAACCTCCAGAAAAAAGAATCCTCCCTTAATTGCAGTCAGCATTTAAATGGGATCTAGGAGAGGTGCAGCCAGGCTCCACCCCTTCCAGTAGCATAGGTGAATTGCCTTCACCTGTGCTCCCACAGCTGACTCTTTGCTTGCCTCAGGTGGTCAATCAGAGGTTTAGGCCATGATCAACAGTTCCCATACACTATTATTTCTAAAGCTGTCAGTTCTTAGAACTGAGGGATATAGCAGACTTTCTCACATCCAGTGCTGGCTATTGCATATTTTATCACATTTGCCAAGAGCAGCAATGGTGAGCATTTGTTTGTAACTTGGACATAACTGTCTTGCAGAAAACAGAGGCAAAGTACTTTTGGGCTTTTACTTCTATTCAAGGAACATTATACATTAACTGTTGAAAGTTATTTCATTTGTAAACTGAGTGTAGTGCCTGAAACAATATCAATACAAAAATAGAAAGCAGGATTTTTTCCAGCCTTGGGGAAAATCATAAAAAAAGGCAACACAGCAATATAACTCCAGTATTTTCACAAATATGGAAGTAGCTTCCTGTTTACTGAGTGTTTTTTAGTTTTTCTTATTTCCCATTGTCATGGAAATACTAAGTTACAGCTTGAAGCAGTGATTGAGCAGCTGGCAGGAAGGCAGGGCCAACCCAGGGGAGCTCAAGTGCATGCAATGCACTGAGTGAGAAGAAGGGGTGGTGCAGGATCTATTCCTTCTCAGACCTCATTTAAGGGTTAGCAGTGGAGGCAAGGATGTCTTGTTGGAGGTTCTTGTATATGTGAGGTCTTCTGAAGGTAAGTAGCTTCTTTATTTTTGTGCTGGTGGCTGGTGTTTTTGACCATTTTGTCATTTGTTGTAGGCTAGGGCTTTGCTGTTATTATACTTTCCATCCTTTACATCTGTCTGCAAAACAAGACTTGTACAATTACACGGGTTCCATATGCTTCTTACAGCTTTAAAACTTGCTGTCTGCTTTCAGTTTATTTTAACTGAGGTATACCATCTTAAAAGCTTACTAAAACACGTGGTTAGGTAAGGAGGACAGCCTCTCAAGTATTTCTGATGAGTCATTACATCTTTCTCAGCTGTTACACCAGATACTGAGAAATGAGTAAAAGAAAAGGACTTTGTACATGAATTAACAAAAGGGAAAAAATAGTAGTTCAAGCTTGCTTAGTTGTCAGAACTGTTCCATCAGAAAATACAAAACCTAGAAAGATTTCTGATTAGCAGTGTAATTTAGTTAGTTTATCCTTTTTGGGGGGGATTTTGTTGGACCTTCTGTAAATCTCTTAATAGAAGATACTGCAGTCGCTGTTAGGAACACAGGCATGTGGGTCAGATAAAAGGAAATCTGTAGCTGCCTTCCAGCACTGGATGCGGATAACCCTTTACTCATAGAATGTATCCCTGCATCTTAAATAGCAGACTTTTTAAACTTACTTTCACAAGTCCTCAACAGTGAAGAGCCTCTTCTTTAAGTGCTGGTATTTTATGTAGCTACTGCATTGAACCAGAAAATTTTCTTAAGTAAATGTAGGTACAATCCAATCTTTCTTGGCTGCTTAAACCTGTCATACTAAGCTTCTACTCTCTTTGAAGGCTCCTACTTATGTGTAGGAATGCGTATGAGAGAAAATATCTGAGAGTGAGATTGGTTATCTAGCTTAATCAGCTCTTTGCCACGCTTAAAAAAATATTTTCTTTTAGGTAGAAGCTTTGGTGAAGACTACGCTGAATTTGCATGGGAAGATTGACTTCCTGGTGAATAATGGAGGGGGCCAGTTTGCAAGTCTTTCTGAAGCCATTCGTGCTAAAGGCTGGAATGCTGTGATAGACACAAATCTGACAGGGACTTTCTATTGCTGCAAAGCAGGTGAGGACTGAACGTTATGCATAATGGGATTTTGGTTGTGTTTTTGTTTTTTTTTAAAAGTAACAACTGAAGGCAAGAAAATGTAGGTTCTATCTTCTTTTTTCACATACTTATTTGATAGTGGATATTTGTTTTCACAAATGTCATATGGCTCTTTAAGTGTACATTATATTTGTTCATATAAACAAATACATGGTTAGACATCTGCATGCTTAGGGGAGGAATAATCTCTAGTTTAAAGGCAAGGTTTGGAGGCATCTGTTGGTTTGGATACTCACAGGTTTGTGGGAGAAACACTTAACTGTGATGGCCAATATTTCCTGATAAACACAGAAGTCTTTGCACCCACCATGGGTATAAATTCAAAGTATGTGATTCTCAGATAGTATTAGGAAAGTGGCAATGCAAGTAATTTACATGGGAGACACAAGGTCTTGATTTCCACAAGTGTCCTCGACAATCACTGAGCCTTACTTAGGCTGTACCTGCTATGTGACTGATCCGGTGATGAGGTTGTGGTATGAAGATCAGACTGTTAATCTAAATATGCACAGGAAGTCTGTAGCATAATTGTAGTTGGACTCCAGATTTAGTGTCCAATTGGCAAGTTTGTTCGTGTGCACTTCTTCAGGTATTTATAGGTTATCTTCCTCCTTCGCACAGTGTACAATGCCTGGATGCAGGAACATGGAGGAGTCATTGTCAACATTACTGCTGCCGTGAGAAATGGGTTTCCTGGAATGTCGTAATATACATATATATATTTTTTTACACTTTCCTCTATTCTCCCCATAGAGCAATTCCTTACTCCTGAATACTGTGTTTTGGAAAGGTGTACAATGCACAGCAGCTGAGTAATAGAAATATGGTAGTTAATGTCAAGAGAGAGCTGCATGTGTGTGAGTCTTTTTATTAATTGAATAGAGACTGTAAGAGTAAAGGACATCTCTGATCATTTCTGCTACTTTGTAAGAAACTGTGAAGCAAAACTTGGTTAGTAAAGCTTTCACTGGGAATGAGATGCTAGTGGAACTGGTTGCCTTGAAATTAAACCTTAACTTGTTCTGATGGCTTTGCAAGAACTTGGCATCTGTTTTTTTCTTTTGCTGTCAGATTTTGATGGCATAAACAGTTCCAGTATAGATGGATGGGGAATAGGAGGGACTTACCTAGCATTTTACCATGTTTCCTCTTTTGTACCTCTCTTTATTGGGGAAGGTCTCTGATGCAGGAAATCAGTTGTTTCCTCTGCTATTTTCTTGACTGGGAGAATGGTACAAAAATCATCGTGTTTATGGTTCTTCTATACTCACAAAAAATGATCACAACTATCTGCATGAAAATATAGCATCTTCATAGGCAGACGTTGACTAAATTTATTCACATTGGTTTTTTTTTACCTTCAAAATAGATGTAAGCCTTCTGATTGAACCTTTTTCCAATGTGCATTGGCATTTTCCAGAGGGGGAGAATTCTGAGTTTTGAGTTTCTTCTTTGAAACTTCTTTTTCTAATTTAACTCTGAATTTTTATATATATTTCTTGAATAGAATTTCAACAGAGTTATATTAACTTCCTTAGGCCTCATTCAGGGTTAAATCTTTCAAAATCTCAATTTCTCACTGGCTTATTCTTAGCAGCATGAAATAAATGTGGAGATCCACATGGTGGTGCTGAAGCTGCAGTCGTTTGAGTTTCTATGCTCTGGATACATCTGAATTGTCACTATGAATAGAATATGGGAGTGTTGAACAAAGAATAATAATTTAAAAAAATCTAAGTTACTTGGAAAAGTTCACCAGAGAACTTGTATGTAGGTATGGATGGCTAAGTAAGGCTACTTTCAAACTAGATTCTTATGCTTTTCTTATAGAAGTGTCAATTATATAGTGTAAGTCTGCTAAATTTGACAATGACTTCACAGTTTAAGAACTAGAAAATCACGTTGGTCCAGACATGGAACACTACTACTTCCTAGTGAAGCTGCAGGGATATTAATATTGAGCACTTAGCTGAGGGAAAAGGTGCTGCTTTTGCTTTCTTTTCTCAATAGGCACTCAGGAGCTGCAAGAGCAGCAGTGGATAACCTAACCAAGACTTTAGCTTTAGAATGGGCCCACAGCGGGGTGCGAATCAACAGTGTTGCTCCTGTAAGTAATGGCAAGTGATGTAATTAAACTTCCTACCATACGTGGTTATGATTAACACTCTGAAACTGAAAGGAATTCTAAAACCTAGAGCTTCTGACTGTTTATGGACTTTTTTTTAATTATAAATTTTTAGTTTCTTCACGCGCTTCCCCCATACACTTTCTATATATGCCCTTTTTTTCCCAGGTGCCTTTGGGAGTGTTTTGTACTGCTTGGATAACGAGACAGATGTGGGGAAAATGGTTTACTAAATTTTTTGAATATGGTTCATGTGTGCTTGTGGCTTCTGCCTATGTTTGCTGTTATGTTGAGCATCTCTGAATGTGTCCTTTTAATGTTTAAATCTTGTCAAGTTGGGTTAGTTTTAGTGGTGAAAAGACAGCGTTGACCTTGGCTCAAAGAAATTATAAAAACACATTTTTACATCTGATATTCATTTTTTTCCTTATGAAGTACACACAGATAGGACACTGCTGTGTGGGTCAGCAAAATATGCCTGCTGTGTTTTTGAGGAAGTAGATGACATGTTGCAGTTACACAAAGCAACTTTGTGTAAAGGCCAGTAGTATTTTTGTAGCCTGTGTTGCAGCAGTTACAGAGGCTATATACAGGCCCAGCTTTGAGGTCTGAGATATGTCTAGTGTGGGTTAAAGTAATCTTCATTCTTAATGGCTGTTTCTTTCTTTCACGCTTGCTCTCTCGAAAACTAAACCTTAATCTAGCTACTTCCACACTCAGAATTTCTTATCTCACAGCATAGTAAATCTCAGATTTATTAGTATCTTTCTAGGAAGATCTTTTTGCCAGTGTAGGAGCCACAGCAGGGTATGCAGATGCCCTGCACTAGAACACCTGGTTTGCTTTCTCTTGGCATGCTTTAAAATTGCTTGATGGGAGACTCAGGAAATGGCTCTTCTAAATAGCCTCTGAGACTACTCTGACTTCTTAAATATGAAGATCTGCTATCTTGTTTTTCCTGTTTGCTCTT